ATCTGTCTTGGCCTGGGATTCTTTGTGGGGAAACAGTGTCTCCTTTGAGAATCTGTCATCAAAGACCTGGCTTCACACAGGTTGGTGTCCAAATGTATACTACGTTTGTGGTTGGGGAAAAGCATAATCCAAGTAATTTATTTAGTAATTTACTTAAAGAAGTTTATGGTTGCTAGTATCCCCAGCACATCTGGCAGAAACAAATGCAAATCCAGATGTTCCCTCAAAAGAGGCTGTTCCACAGATAAAGCCTCATGAAACTTAATAGGAATTCACAACCTGAAATTTCAACACAAATGTAAATGTCCACGGAATTCATAAATTGGATCTTTTCCACACCGAATGCAATAGGCATGTTAAAGATGTTTAAAGAAATAAAGATGAAATAAAAACCGGAGCAGGGAACAAGCTTTCCGAGAAGGCCTAGATGGATTTGAATAGAAACCAAACTTTATTAATCAAACATGTAGTCATTGAAATAAAAACTCAATGGGTAGAATAAACAGTAGATTAGATACAATTAATGGTAGATTCATGATTTAGACAATGGGTCTGAGAAAATGACTGAGAATGCAGCGCAGGTTACAGAGATGGAAAATAAAAGAGAAGTTAGAGATAGCTGGATAGAATTATAAGATCTAATGTTCTGTCCAATTAAGAGTGCTAGAAGAGAATATAAAGAATGGGGGAAAAGCAGTGTCCAGAGACAATGGGTGAGAATTATTCAGGATTGATGAAACATATTTATCCACAGGGTCAAGAAAGAGTCAGCCCTGGCCGGTGTGGTTCAGTTGGATGAGCGTCATCCCATTTACCAAAAGGTCACCGGTTTGATTCCCAGTCGGCACATGCTGGGGTTGTGGGTTCAATTGCCAGTAGGGGGCATGCAGGAGGCAGCCAATAGATGTTTCTCACATCAGTCACATTGATGCTTTTCTCTCTCTCTCTCTCTCTCTCTCAAATCAATAAAAACATTTTTAAAGGAGTTACTTCTAAAAACAAAGGGGGGAATCGATCCAAAACAAATTGAACAAAAATATATAACAGTGTGACTTGTCTAAAACCAAAAACTAAGATTGTAAGAGCATCCAAAGAGAAAGGCGGTACACAAATATCAATAATTAGACTGCTAACACGACTCTCAGCAGCAAATTTGGACACCAGGAGATTGTGAAATAGTATCCACGAAGTGAAATGATTGACATCCTAGAATTATATGCCCAGATAGACCAGCATTGTAGAATGGGTACGATGCTGACAGAATACTTGATAAACAGTTCCACAAGAAATAATGATTTAAAATAATAATAATAATAATAATAAATAATAATAGTGGAAGTATCTTGGAGAGTATTTTTGTCCACATCATTTTATGCCTGGAATTACTTGAAGCATATTTGCGTCATTGGACAAAATGATAAGCAGTTTTATTTGTTTTAATCAAAAGCTTTAACCTTACTTGGTTAAAAACAGTAACTGGGATGTTCTGTTTCCCAAAGAGCAAGACCCATAAGCAGGGCCCTGGACCTCGGTGCTGACATCGTTGTGACAGGTCGCTGCGTGGACAGTGCTGTCGTGTTGGGACCCCTCATTCATGCTGTAAGTTTATAGAGAAAACACATTTGTCACCTCGAGTGTATCACCTTTGTTTTACTTACTAACACACGTGATTTTCTTTGGCCATTACAGAGTATGTCTTCAGATGCCAATTTGTTAACGTCAAAGTATTAAAAAAAGAAACCAAAAATAAATAAATTGCTTTCCTATTAGAAGTTTAATATGTTTAGTGTACCAAAAGGCACACAGTGAATTCCAAATTTGATTTTATAAAACAATGATGTTCATTAAAATATGGTGGAATAACTTGTTGTTAACCAAATTTTCCAGAGCTGACCATGCGAAATTTATAAACTGATATGTGTGGTTGGTATAATCACATTCAGTACCTTGGAATCCTTTAGAATCTTAAGGTTATTAGAAAAGTCTTTAGAGTTTGAGGACCCTTCTATATGTTTGGAGACTACTTTGCTTGTGTTAAATTTTTTTAATAGTAATTGTTCCTAAAATTAGGTGCCATTAACCCTTTCCTGGTCAAATTCCTTAGGGACTTGAGGTTCTTTGTTGTAAAATATTCTCAAGTCAAATCCAGCTTCTCAAAGGCACTGAAGGCTCTTTTTCTACACATGGAGAGAAAATGATAATTGTGTTATATAGATAGAATGACCCATGTTTCAGGCTTCTTGTATCTCCCTGTTCACCCATTCAGACCCAACCCAGTATATAACTTTGCTTTTTTGAAGTTGTGTTCTTGTTTTAAGTTTCCACTCTCCCGTGGGAAGCTGCTTCTAAAGCCTTCATGTTGATCCTCAAACACATGTCCTTTCGGGCCCAGCTATTCCTCCAGCAGACCCTTCCCTCCCTTTTCCAATCAGTTTATTTCTGCCTAGCTCTTACCGAAATTGATCCATCTTTTCCTCTCTTCTTCCTTCCACTCAAGAAGTACTGTTCTTTGTAATCTTGATTTTGCTAATATTTTGAGCAAATTGTATCCTGTGTATACTCAAGAGGCTTCCAATATCTATCATTATCTCTTACCAGTTGTGTAACTTGGGGAAGTTCCATAATCTCCAGGCCTCTTGCTTTCTCATTTTAATATCCATGTGGGTTATTATAAGGATTAAATAAGAGAACCAGGTGAAACACTTAGTACAGTGTCTGTAAGGCCTGAGCAAACATGTTAATTGTTACTAGAGATACGATGAACATCATGGAAGAGAGTGTTCAGAGAGCCTAGGAGATTTAGCGGGGGGCTGTAATCCGTTCTGAAGGGGACAAGAGGTCCATCAGTGGGAGTGACACTTAAGTTGAGACCTTCAGGATGAATATAATTTGTTCTGGAATAAAACAGAAGTTCGAAGTGGAAGACATAGCACTGCACATGCCAGGGCCTGAAGTACACAGTGGAGGGATGCAGGACCTGAGAAGCCCCGGGTGGTGGGTGGAGGGAAAGAATAGTGAGAGGTGAGCCTTAGAGAGGTCGGCAGGAGCCAGAGACCAGAGGTCTCTGAAGGTCTTAACTTGACCAACAGTTAAGAGGCACTAATGAAAATTAAAAGCAAGGAAATGGTATAAATGATCCAACCAACTTAGAATTGGACATGGACGTATGTATTGGCTCCAATACTTTTGCAATTTTGTATGAGCTACAGTAGATATCTGTAGCAAATCTTTGTATCTTTTTAAAAGTTATTTCTTTAAGATAAATGCTTCTGGCTTTAAGTGTTAATGAATCAAAAGCACAGTCAGCTCACTAGAGTAAACATGTATGGCACACCTGCCATGTGCAGTTGTTGGGGATCCTAAAACAAGGCTTCAAACTTGTTTTCAGAGAGGTTGATACAATAAGGGATTCAGAGGAATATCTGCAAGGTAAAAACTGCAGATATGTTTTTAATGAAAATAGCTAAAACTGGTAAATGTAGCCTCTTTATTTCTATAAAATTGTGTAAGGCTTGAGGTTACCACAGGGTGGCACTAATACATTTCTATTTGTTTGTGATATATTAATGAGCAGTTTTTCCTCTGCTGATCTATTTTTGATGAGTTGTAACTGGAAAAATATTTAGGTTTAGCCTGAAATTTTTAAAAATTAGTTTACATTTTAAAAAAAGACATGACAGGATTTTGATTTAAAAACCCAAACATTACATATGTTTTCATAACCACAGAGCCTGACTGGTGGTTTTCTTTAAAAAAACCCCTACATTAATGAGTATTGTGTGTGTATGTGTGTGTGTGTGTAAATTTAGGGACATAAGAGGATGAAAGAACCAATTTTTATAGAATAGGTTTATATTCTGACCTTCTATCTGACTGAAATTTCAGCTTTTATGTTTCTTAAATTAGGGATCCTCAATGGTCCATTTCTTCTCTCCCATGGGCCATTAAAGTCTTGGGGGCAGGAAACTTTTATAAAGTTTACTCTGCTATTTATCCCTCCTTCTTCCCCTCTCTGAACATTCTGAATGGATTTAGGGAGCATTTCCTAGTGAGCTTATGTTAATCACAATTACATGTACATAATATGTCTTTCTGATGACGTGATCTCTTTATTATTATGAAATAACCTTTTTTATTCTTAGTCTTTGCTCTGAAATCTACCCCATCAGATACTAATGTAGCCATGCTCACTTTCTTTCGAGTCTTCCTTTTTTATTTAATCTGATAATCTTTGCCTTTTAATTAGAGCGTTTAGATCATTTACTTTAATGTGACTATTGACATAGTTAGGTTTAAATGTCATCTTGCTATTTCTTTTTTTTTTTTTATCTAATTCTTTGTTTCCTATTTTCTGCTTAGTTTGAGATTAAGATTGTGTTTTTCTTAATTCCACTTTATGTCATTTATTGATTTATTAGCTGTAACTCTTTGTTTTGCTATTTTAATGATGGCCTAGTGTTTGTTGTATAATTCTTTAATGTTGCAGTTTACTTTCAAGTGATACTAAACTATTTCACATAGAGCAGAAGAACTTTACAATTATATCCTTCTGTTTTTCCCCCTCCTATTTTTTGTACCTTTGTTTTCATACTTTTATTTCTGTGTATATTGTAAACCCAACAATACATTGTTATTATTTAGTATTTTTCTAATTTATTGTTACTTATATTTTATTGATATTATAATAATAAAATTATGTTAAGTGCTTTAAATGCTAAGAAAAAACTTCTATATTCACCCATATACTGTAGTTCACATTTCTGGTGCTCTTCTGTCTCCCGTGTGGATCGGTATTTCCATCTAGAATCACTTTCCTTTTGCCTGAGGAACTCTCGTTTGACATTTAGTGTTATGATACAGGTCTGCTGGTGATGAGTCTTTCAGCTTTTGTATGTCTGGAGAAGTCTTTATTTCACCATTGTCTTTGAAAGATATTTTCCCTGAGTATAGAATTCAAGGTTGACAGTTTTTTATTTCTTTTCAGTATTTTAGAGTTGTTCTGCCTTCTTGGCATTGCTTCTGATGAGAAATTTGCTTTCATATTTCTTTGTATCTCTAGGTGTAATATATCTTCCTTTTGTTGTCTGCTTTTAAGATTTTCTCTGTCACTGTTTTTGAGCAATTTTATTTTAATGTGCCTTTTTTAATATTTCTTGTGCTTGGTGTTTTTGATCTTCATGCTTCTGTGAATTTATAGTTTCATCCAATTAAAAAATATTTTAGCCTTTATTTCTTCAAATATTTTTTTTATGTCCCTCTCCCTCCTCTGGGACTCCAGTTACACATGTATCATGCCACGTAGCATTTTCCAAGAGCTCCCTGATGCTCTCTTTATTTTTGATATTCTTTTTTCTCTCCATGAAACTTTTGATTAGTTTCTACTGCTATGTCTTTACATTAAATAATCATTTTTTCTGCAATGTCTAATTTGCCATTATCACAATCAGTGAGTGTGTTGTTGTTTTTTATCTCAAAATCATACTTGCTATCTTTAGAAATTCAAATTGGGATCTTTTTGTGCTTTAATTTTGTATACGTTTTATTTTTTTCAATGCATAAAATACACTTTCAGTAATGTCTATATTTTAATGTCTGCTAGTTTTACCATCTGTTTAGGATATGGATCTGTTGAGATTTTTCTCTCAATATGGGTCACATTTTTCTGCTTTTTCTGCATGCCTGGTAATTTTGGATGGGATGTCTGTCATACATTGTGAATTTTAACTTGTTGGTTGCAGGATATTTTCATATTCCTGTAAATATTTTTGAGCTTTATCTTGAAATATGATCACTTATTTTATAATTCTTTGAGCCTTTTTGGTCTTGCTTTTAAGATTTGTTAAACAGGACCAGAGCAGCATCTAGTCTAGGATTAATTATTTCCCACTATTGCAGCAAGGCTTTTCTGAACACTCTACCCATTTTCCTATGAATTGTGAGATTTTCAGTCTGGCTGGTGTCAATAGGCACTATTCCCGGACTGAGGGAGCTTCCTCCTACCCCTGTGCTGGCTAGCTCATGGCTGAATACTTGAAAGGGGCCCTGTGGAGATCTCTGGAGTTCTCTCTCTGCACGGCTCTCTCTGTGTGGCAGTCTCCCCTGCAAACTCTAGTCATCTTGGTCTTCCTGGACGCTCAGCTCCTTAACGCAGGGAGTCCGCCAGATCCCATTTGGACCCCCAGCCCTGGGCCTGGAAACTCAATCCTAGGCTCATTTCGTTTGTTTCACTCTGCTTAGGGATCACTAGTTTCTGTTGCCTGATGTCTAGTGTTTTAAAAACTATTGTTTCATGCATTTTAACTGGCTCTTCTTTTGTTCCAGGAAGTAATTTAACTTGGTCCGGGTTATTCCATCTTGTCCAGGGCAAAATTCTACTTCAGGTTTTCATGAGAGGTTTTTGTTAGTTTCTCCATATAATTTCTTATTTGAATCTATGCAGTAATTTTATTTTTATTGTTATTATTTTTTTAAATTTTATTTTTGTTTAAAATATTACAGATGTCCCTTTTTTCCTATGCAGTAATCTTCAATTGTACTTTAGATCAAGTAGGGAATTATTTTAAACATGTACTATGTAAGGAATCTATATCTTAAGTGGATGAATTGTAAATAAAATAATTAATTTTTGTGTGGTTTTTTTTTCCCCCTCATAGTTTGGCTGGAAAAACAATGACTTTGATTTATTAGCTGCTGGAAGGTAAGTCTAATAATAATAATATCAGTAGTAATTTTACTCTTTTAACTACATTACAGTAAAATTTACTTAAGCTTTTCAGAAATTAAAATATGGGTCATATTAAATAGGACAGTAATATTTTACACATTTTCTCTGCTATTCTATAATATAGTGAAAATATAATGTGACACTTTAAGCCTGGTAATACTTACATTTTGAAGCACTTTGGAATTTTCATGGTACTCTCACATATTTTTGTCTCAGTTAATTCTCACAACTTTACAGTAATGCATTAGTCTCATTTTGATCAAAGTCTGTCACTTGGCCTAGTTTCCTCTGATTTTCAGACCAGGCCACTTTCTGTTATTGCAAGCTAGCCTTTCTGCATGATTGGCCTACTTTATTAAAGCAAACAAAAACAAAGTGGCACCCATGTAAACTTACCAAGATTTTTCTCACTTTTATGATCATACCTTCAAAAATAAAGTTTTATTTATAACATTATTTTATATTTGGGCAGGTATCGAAAATGTTGCTCACCATATTAATGCTGTTTTTTGTTTGCTTTGTAGCCTTGCAGGCCATCTCATTGAATGTGGTGCTCAGAGTACTGGTGGAATATTCACAGATTGGCATTTGGTGCCAGACTGGTAGGAAGCTATATTTTATATATACATATATTATAGCATGGCATATCACATCTACATTTAGAAATTTTATTTTCTGTTTATTAAACTGTAATAATTGCTGTTTTAAAACTTGTGTTATTTATTTGTATTGAATATTGCTTTTTATTTGTATTATGAAACAGACAAATTTTATATCCTCGACGTCATTACCCTATTAGGATCCAGAGCTAAGTTTCAGGAGGATTCTTTTTGGCATGTTAAAAATCATACTTTCCTAAAATAATATACAATCTTTTATTATGGTTTTTAGCTTATTATTAAGCTGAACTTTGTACCTATTTTGGGTTGAATTGTAGCCCTCAAGCCCCTCATCCCAAGGCTCCAACTGTCAAATCTCACTGAACGACTAGGAACCTAGGCCAAAGATACGTTGTAGTTCTAACCCCCCAGTACCCTAAAATGTGACCTCATTTGGAAATAGGGTCTTTACAGCAGTAATAAAATCAAAATGAGATCATTATGGTGGGCCCTAACCCAACAGGACTTTTGTTCTAATAACAAGTAGAAATTTGGACCTAGTGAAAGACACATACAGATGGAAAACAATGTGAAGACAGACCCTATGAAGACAGAGTTGGAGTGACGCATCTACAAACCAAAGAACACCCGAAGCTGGGAGAAGGCCAAGGAAGAGTTCTCCCCTAGAGCGTCAAGAGAGCATCGCTGTGCTTGTTGGCACCGTGATTTCAAAATTCTGGTCTCCAGAACTGAGATGATAAATTTCTGCTGCTTCAAGCCATCCAATTCTTGGTACTTAGTATGGCAGCCCTAGGAAATTAATACAGTACTTAAAATAGAAATAGAGTCTCTCTCTTTTAGGACAGCGTGGAAGACCGCATGTGATCTGCCTGCATTCCAAGCCATTTCTCAACCACTTTCTCATCTTTCCATCAATCTCACCACCTGGATCTGTCATCTTGTTTCTATCCGTTCAGCTAGATTGTAAACTCTCTTTAACCAATCATACTCAAGTATCTTTCTTTCCTTTTCTAATTGTTAAAAATTTAGTTTATATATATATAAAATACTTGTCATAAATGAGTGACATGGTCTTCTTACCTGCTCTCTTTAATGTAGATTTATTTATTTTTTCAGGTGTACGATATAGTGGTTAGACAGTCATGCACTTTACAGGGTGGTCCCCTGATACTTCCAGCGCCCACCGGGCACCACACACAGTTATCACAGTGTCATTGACTGTATTCCCCGTGCTGCACTTCACATCCCCATGACTGTTCTGTGACTACCAATCTGTACTTCTCAGTCCCTTTGCCTTTTTCACTCAGCTCCCCAAACTCCCTTCCCTCTGGCAACCAGGGCAGCTTTTTATAATTTTTTGTTTGGCTTCTCTCTTCCTGCTCATCGGCTCCTGCTTATCAGCACCATTCTGTCCATGTAATCATCTCACTGATCTAACATATATTCTTTCCTACTTTTTGTTAACCCTCAGATAATCTGTATGGATGTAAACGCATATACAAATATTCACACCCTGGTGCATGAGAAGATGTTCTAATATCTGACAGGCCAAGCTCTTTCTCACTCTCCCGTCACCTTTTAAAAAGTTTTTTGCTATTCTTTGGCATTTATTCTTCTACATGAACCGTAAGATCATTTCATCCAAAGGAAGGAATTACAATGGCATTTCTTTTGGGGTGTATAATCAGTTTGGTAGAATTGACATTTTTATTATAATGTCTTTTCACCTGAGAAGGTGGTTCATTTTTATAGCTTTTGTTTTATTGTGCTTCAATATACTTTAGAAATACCAAAATAAAATGCATTCGCTTTCATTATTTTTTTGTATATGACCTTTTTGATTTGACTTTTAAAGTTTTATTATGGTCTACCACAATGAAATGTTCTTTTCCTCCAGAATCAAAGAGGAGTCTTTTTCTTCTTATTAAAAATGACCATGTTGCCCTGGCCAGAATGGCTCATTTGGTCTGGTGTCGTCCGTGCACTGAAGTGTTGCCGGTTCGATTCCTGACCAGGTCAATGTCTGTCTGTCTGTCTGTCTTTCTCTTTGTCTCTCTTTCCTTCCCTTTCGCTTCCCCTCTCTCTAAAATTCAGTGGAAAATCTTACAAAAGAATAAAGATCATGTTTAAATGACCATTTCAGAACCAAACTAGGGTCACAGTCTGTAACTCTAAATTATCCTATATCCCCCTTCTTGTTTATCTTCCAATTATCTTACCTTTCTTACATTATAAATAAATGCTTCTTTGAAAGCTGAGGCCCAAGTTTCACCAGCTTGGGTTTATAATTAAGTGGAGGGAGGGAGAACCCAGCCGATCACCAGTGGAGTAAGCCATGCTCACTCTGAGACTCACTAGGGAAATCTGACGGGGCAGGAATCGAATGATATGTGGCCCTCTTTAGACACCACAGCTGCTGCAGTCTCGTTCCCCTGACTCTCCTTGAATCTCATGCTCCATTCAGCAGGGGTTCTCATCACTTCACATCAGGAGGAGCTAGAGACCATTTGCAAACCTTCTGAAAAATAGTATCTGAATTTCTATACTAAATATTCTTCCATGCCTCTCAATATGGTTTCCTTCTCTTTGGCTCTCAGACATCATCCATATTCAGTACTTATCATGCATGAATAAGCCATCGTATGATTTAAAAGGTAGTATAATATGTAAAATATACAGCTTTGGATTATTGTTATTCATCAAAAATATTGTTTGATAAAATGTAACATCTTTTCCTGAGGTTTTCTTCCTGGCTGTTCTGAACCATAGTGGTCCCTGATTTTCACCCAGGCACAATATCGGATTTCCCGTACTGGAATGCTTTCCTGATGGACGGTTCATCCTCTCCAAGCCCCCTGGCACAGGGGGGTTGGTCTCCTTTGGTACAGTGGCTGAGCAGCTGCTCTATGAAATTGGCGATCCTCGGCGTTTTCTCTTACCTGATGTGACTTGTGACTTTTCTCAAGTCTCTATTACTGAAATTCCAGGTAAGTGACTCACATGGTTTTGCTTGTAAATGTTACATTCTCTCCCTTTCTCTCTGGACGTTTTTAACATAAAATTATAATTGTTTTCAAATCTAATACCATCTTTTCTAAGCCACATGTGGAGAAAACTTGACAATTCTATGATGTAGTCAATGCCATTTACTAGAAGGTCGTTGGAATGAAGTGAGAAAGAGATTTTTTTTAACTCTACTTTTAACACATGTCACATGTTTAACAATTTGGCAAAAAATAAAAATAGTGTCTTAATTAGGTATTTAGCTAGTAATTAAATCCAAGATTAGTTTTCTATAAACTTCAAAATCATTTTACCGGTATCTTAATGACTTCAACCTTGTGTTATTTATTTATTTATTTATTTATTTATTTATTTATTTATCTATTGTTTTTATTTAATATGTTTCCTACTCCATGGTAGACTTCTTGAAAACAGAACTTTTGTCTGGTGAATTTCTGTGTCCTTTACAATCCCTAGTACATACAGCACCTTGCAAATAATAAACGAGATAAACATTTATTAAATGAGTGAACAAATAAATGCTATGTTCAAATACCTAGGAGATTTTGCAGATGTGGTTCCAGACTACCACAGTAAAGCGAATATAGCAATAAAGTGAGTCACAAATTTTTTTGGTTTCCCAGTGCATATAAAAATTATGTTTACACTATACTGTAGTCTATTAAGTGTGCAATGGCATTATATTTTAAAAAGACAATGTATGTAGCTTAATTTTAAAATACTTTATTGCTAAAAAAGGTTAACCATCATCTGAGCCTTCAGTGAGTCATAATCTTTTTGCTGGGAGAGGCTCCTGCCGTGATGTCAGTGGCTGCTGACTGATCATGGTGGTGATTGCTGAAGGCTGGGGCGGCTGTGGCAATTTCTTAAAGCAAAAATCACACTGGCTGCATTGATTGGCTCTGCCTTTTATGAAGGATTTCTCTGTTTGATATGCTGTTTGATAGCATATTCTGCACAGAACTTTTTTCAAAGTTGGAGTCAGTCTTCTCAAACCGTGCCATTGCTTTATTAATTAAGGTTATGTAATATTCTAAATCCTTTATCATTTCAACAGTCTTCACAGCATCTTCACCAGCAGTAGATACCATCTCAAAAAACCACTTTATTTGCTCGTCCACAAGAAGCAACTCCTTGTCCATTTAGGTTTCATCATGAGATTGCAGCAATTCAGTCACATCTTCGGGCTCCACTTCTAATTCTAGTTCTCTTGCTGTTTCCACCACATCTGCAGTTGTTTCCTCCGCTGAAGTCTTGAGTCCCTCAAAATCACCCAGGAGGGTTGGAATCAGTTTCTTCCAAACTCCTGTTAGTGTTGATATTTTGATCTCTTCCCGTGAATCATGAATGTTCATAATGGCATTGAGAATGGGGAATTCTCTCCAAAAGATTTACAATTTACTTTACGCAGATCCATCACTATCTATGACAGCTATACGAAATGTATTTTTTAAATAAGACTTGAAAGTCAAAATTACTTCTGATCCATGGACTGAAGAATGGATATTGTATTAGCAGGCATGAAAACAACATTACTTTCTCTCTTTCTTTTTTTTTTTAGAGAGAGAGGAAGGGGGAGAAGGGAGAGAGGGAGGAGGAGGAGAGAGACATTGATTTGTTGTTCCACTTATTTATGTATCATTGGTTGATTCTTGAATGTGCCCTGACCACAGATCAAACCCGCAACCTTGGTGTACTTGGAACGACGCTCTAACCAACTGAGCTACCCAACCAGGGCTAACAGTAATCTCTGTATATCTCACTCAGAGCTCTTGGGTGGCCAGGTGCATTGTCAGTGAGCAGTCATATTTTGAAAGGACTCTTTTCTGAGCAATAGGTCTCAACAGTGGGCTTCAAATATTCAGTAAACCATGTTGTAAACATATCTACTGTCATCCTGGCTTTGTTGTTTCACTAATAAAACACAAGAAGAATAGATTTAGCCTAATTCTTAAGGACCTTAGGATTTTCAGAATGGTAAATGAGCACTGGCTTTAAATTAAAGTCACCAGCTGCATTACTGCCCAAGGAGAGAGTCATCGTGTCCTTTAAAGCTTTGAAGCCAGGCACTGACTTCTCCTCTCGAGCTATGAAAGTCTTAGATGGCATCTTCTTCCAATAGAAGGCTGTTTTGTCTACATTGAAATTCTGTTATTTAGTGTAGCCAGTTTATTAGCTTAGATCTTCTGGATAACTTGCTGTACCTTCTATATCAGCACTTACTGCTTCCTTTATCTTATGGAGATGGCTCTTTTCCTTATACCTAATGAACTAACCTCTGCTAGTTTCAGACTTTTCTTCTGCAGCTTCCTCACTTCTCTCAGCCTTCAGAGAATTGAAGAGAGTCAAGGCCTTGCCCTGGATTAGTATTTGGCTTAAGGGAATGTTATGGCTCGTTTGATCTTCTATCCAAACCACTAAAACTTTCTCCATATCAGCAGTAAAAACTGTTCCACTTTCTTATCAGTCATGTGCTCACTGGAGGAGCAATTTTAATTTCCTCCAAGAACTTTTCCTTTGCATTAACAACTTGGCTGTTCGGCACAACAGGCCTAGCTTTCAGCCTATCCCAGCGTCTGACCTGCCTTCCTCTCTAAGCTTCATTATTTCTAGCTTTTTATTTAAAGTGAGAGACTTGTGACTCTTCACTTGAACACTTCGAGGCCATTGTAAGACTATTAATTGGACTAATTTCAGTATTTCTGTGTCTCAGCGATTGAGAAGGCCCCAGAAGAGGGAGAGAGATGGGAACAGTCCATCAGCGGAGCAGTCGGAACATAGACATTTATTAAGTTCGCTGTCTTACATGGGCATGGTTCATGGCTCCCCCAAGCTATCGCAATAGTAACTCAGAGGTGACTTATCACAGATCACCATAACAAATATAATAATAGTGAAAGACTTGGAAATATTGTGAGAATTACCATAACGTGACACAGATAAAGGAAGTGAGCCAATGCTATTGGAAAAATGGCACCGATGGACTTGCTGGGCACGGTTGCCACGAACCTTCAGTTTGTAGAGTGCAGTGTCTGTGAAGCGCGGGAAAGGGAAGCATCATAAAATGTGCTGGGCCTGCACTCCCTTATTGTTTCTGATGTTCCTCTCTTTTCTCTATGTCTCTATATTATTGTTTCTAAGCCTGTAGTTTAAACAAAGTACTCAATACCGTGTAAAATGTGAAAACTTGTTCTTTAAATAATATCGAGAACAACCAAAATTGATCTACAGCTGCTTCTCTAAGAACAGTCCCAAGGCTCCCATCTTAGGCCTCGTCCTTACGATCATCATCATTGCCATTATGCATAGCACATGGCCTTTTACATTTTATATTTATGATGCTTAAAAATGCGGTGATCAAAATGCAATATAAAATAACTTCAATTAGCATATTTATTCTTTTTCCACTTCAGTCTTTAAAAAATAATAATAAACTCCCAGTGAACTTTTACCCTGTAAATGCCCTGATATGACATATTTGAACTTACCGTGAACTTTCACATGAACTTTTAGTTATCCTCTGAGAAATATAACAGATGGAAATTAGGCAGATTTTTCAAATATTTTTAGATGCCGTACTCTGACATGCTTAACAGACAGCAAGGCCAACTATCTCTTCCCAGTGTTTACTTTGCTGACTTTATGGTACCGCAGGCTGTTTACTTATATTATATTCCTGAATTAAGAAGTTCAGTTATATTTTTGTTTGGCTTCTTGATTTTAAACCAATACTTGTAAATGCACTTAAAGACAAAGCTAACTGGGTCATAAAATGTAAGAAATTCTAAGAGCTTTATTGACCCTATTGAAATAATATTGTTTCAAATCATTTAGAGACTAAGGCCTTTCAAAGATTCATTTTGGGTTGTAGAAAATGAGTCAGCTATAATGTTTTTCACCTTGAATAGTTTGCAGCTAGGAATTCAGTTAAAAATGCATGAGGTTTCCGAAGGGTCACCTGAGAAGGGAAGAGGAAAAGTGAGCACTAACTGTCATATTAATACTGCCATGGTGTGAGATAGGGTCCTTATAAGTATTTAATCTTTACAGCTCTGTTGCCAAGTAGTTTTTATGTTCATTTTACAGAAGAGGAAAGGGAGACAGGGAAGTTGAGTAATTTGCCTGAGAACACACAGCTAAACTGGGAATTAAATCTAAGCCTCCCTGATTTTCAAGTCCTTGCTCCTTCAACAGTTTTGTGCTCCCAGAAGGGAAATGTTTGTTTGATCAAATAGATACTAAAGATAAAAGTGTGATAAAGCTATAATACCTTTATGATCTTTGTTTTGAGTATTTAAAGAGTTTTCTTTATATTTATTGTGCAATATTGTTAAATAAGTTAGATTTAAAAGCTCTTAGAATGCTTTCAATGATCTGAAGATAGTAGCTAAGATTTTTGCTTCTCTTGAAAGTTACCCATTGTCTGCAAAATTATGATGTATCTATCACATTTACCAAATAACTCAGGCATGTATATTATTTAATCCACTGATAAACATCTTCTTGCTTAGAATCATTCTTATTAGCACCCACTTTATTCTCATACTATAATTTATTCACCCTGAGTAGTGTTTCAGATGTTATTTAGTTCAGAGAGAGATTGTAGTTAATGGGCATAGATATATAAAATGGCACAGAACTGCATTTATGAGATGAGAATGTGAACTGTATTAAGCTGTAATTAGCCCAACTTTTCTGACACTTCACTAAGTAATGACAGTTTTATTGGTGAGGCTGATAAAGATCTTTTCACTTCATAAGGATGTGCTCAGAAGCTTAAAAGGCCTGTTGTGATCTTGTCAATGATGTAATTTAAATAGATAGCAAGTTAAAATAAGTTGCATTTCTTGTTTTAGAGAAATTTCTAATATTCTCCATTCTTTAACTTTTGAGTTCATCTAAGGAGCACAGCTGTGTATTAAAAGTAATGAACAAATTTTGTATTAAAATAAGTGATCCTGTTTTTCTCTTTAATGTTTAGGTATTGAAGGTGGAGCAGTGTGGGTTCAAGGAGCAAAGGGGTCACCTCCTTCTTCCTTTTATAAGGTCTTTTCTCTTGTGTGATTTTGCTACCTGTTTAGAGTTCGAGAGGAAGCACATTAATTGCCCTCTGTACAATAGATAGGGGATTTAATTAGGCATAAGATATTAATTTCCTGTAGAAAGTAGGCAGATAAGCCCACAGCCCAACTTTGGTTTCTTGATATTGGTAAGATTAATTGGTATATATAAATTCCAGAATTTATAATTATACTTACACTGTGGAATTCCTTAAATTTAGGGTAATCATTATTTATATGAAACTACGGGTGTGTATGTTAGTACCACAATTATACAGCATCATAGAGAAGGACCCTAGGGTTGGTTTTGAAGTATTAATACAGAGAACATATATCTGTGCAATATTAAAAATAATGTTACTATTTTATTTTTATTTTTTTAATCTTCACCTAAGGATATTTTTCCATTGCTTTTCAGAAAGAGTGGAAGGGACAGAGAGAGAAAGAGAGACAGAGACGTCTATGTGAAAGGGACACATCAGTTGGTTGCCTCCCACAGGAGATGGAGCCTGCAACCAAGATACATGCCCTTGGCCAGAGTCAAACCTGGGACCCTTCAGTCCGAGGGCCGACACTCTAACCACTGAGCCAAACTGGTCAGGGCTGTGTTACTATTTTAGATGTGATACGTTTATTGTAGAAAACAAAATTTAGGCAAATGTGCTTTTTTTTTTTTTTTTTTATCCTGTTGCTTTACCAAGGCCTCTGAAGGCTACAAAGTGATTCTGTTTCTAAATGTAAAGCATCAGTTTAAAAAAAGGCAGACTGTTAATATAAAGTTTTTTAAATGGATTTTTTATTAATAACCTACAAATATTCTAGTTACGACTTTTTATTGCAAGTGACAAACAATTCAAACCAGCATAAACAAAAAAGGGTGGCAGTCGCATGCAAATATGAACACATATTTAGATATTTCAGTTGTATTAATTTAACATTAAGAGCATTTCTTCATGATTAAATACTTTTTAATATTATTTCAAAAATGTTCCATAGCATTCCATTATCAGCATATATCACAGTTCACTTAATCATTACATCCTTGTTGGACATTTAGATTGTTTTCAATAGAGCATTTCCAAATTCTCATCCCAAGTAGAAGAAAGAGTTTGATTGGAAGCTTAAATAGCAATACAATTTAAAGCCACAAAAATGTTTTTCTAAATACAGAAATAATGGTCAAATATAGTTGTAATTAATTATTTATTTATGTAGTGAAGTTTTTAAATATTTTATTGCATTCATATTTTTTATAATGAACTTGAAGTCTCAACTTATTCTAGAGTTGTTGGTCTCTTGTTTTTGTCACTTGGTAATTAGGATGTCCCTTCACAGTTGGACCAGTTTCTTCCATAATTTTAGCGAATACTTATAAGATCTGTACTAATGTTTGCAGTTAGAGCTTTGAGTTTCTTGAGATCCTCTGTGATAGACCTATTCTCTGCCACATCTCCATTAAAAGTAAGGCCACAATTTGGATTAAAACAGTTTTTATATATTTTTCTAAGTTTCTACAATGAAATTAGATTTCTGTTATAACCTTAACTCCTGATCATTTCTTTTTAAAGCTTCCACTTCACCTCTGTGAAAGTCATTATTTCATTTAAGAAAAGGCAACTTTACTTATTGATATACTTGGAATAGATGAGATAGTTTCTGATCAGTAGTCAGATGGTTCATTATAGGGCATATTGTTGGCATAGATTATACCATTGTTTATATTTGTAACCTTATGTCATCAGGTGAGTGCTTGTTACCACGACGGTTTCAGAGCAACTGCTGTCTGCCCAATGGGAGGGCCAAAAGCAACTGAAAAGGGAAGGAGAACAGCTGAAAGTATTTTGAAAAGGTTTGTACATAAAACAAAAAGACGGGTTCTCTAGTCTAACTAAATTTAAAGCATGTCAGTGACCAAGTTATTTAACAAAAGTCATTATTATGACCACTTAACATTTCCCCTGAAAATATTTATATATTCATTCAGCACATTGTATGTCAAGCAACAGGTACTGATACAAACGAGCCCTGCACCAACAATCTTACAGTTTAGTGTGCAAGATGCCCAGAAACAGGTATTAGAAAAATTTTGTGGATGCTAAATTCTACTAGAAAACTTACACTTTTTTTCCTTAACCTAAAAATTATGTTTAGAAAGTTAACATAGTGCACACTGGCAATAGAATCAGAAGTAACCGACCCATTCACAGGTCATATGGTTCCTACAAGCGTTTGGTGTCTGGAGATCATTTTGTTTGTCCCAGAAAGTTCTCCTTTCTTAAAAAAAAAAATATATATATATATATGTGTATATATATAATATATATAAATTATATATATTATATATATATGTATATACACACACACACATACATACACACACAGTGGCACCTCTGTTTTCGAACGTCTCTGTTGACGAACATTTTGGTTTACGAACGCCGTAAACCCGGAAGGCAATGCTTCGGTTTTCGAACCTGCCTCAGAAGTCGAACATGCCCCACGGCTCCCGCTGAGGGCAGGATCCTGAGGCCCAGCTGTCGGCTGTGGATCCCTCGGTTTTGGGCAGTTTCAGAACTCGAACGGGCTTCCGGGACGGGTTACATTCGAAAACCGAGGCACCACTGTATCTAAAAAATAAGTACTTTTTAGGCATTTAAATTAAATAAAATAAAAGCAATGAAAACATAGTTACCTGTCACGATACCTGACACACATTCTTCAGTAAATATTGTTGAATGGATGAATGACTGTTCCAAAAGTCAGAAAACAAAGCAAACATTGAACAGAAAGCATAAAACAAGATCTCAAAAGTAAAGTCAAAATCAGAGTTGTGGAAAGGAACGTAAGTGTTATAAACTGCTCAATTAAAAGATAATCTTAAAATAGATTAAAATCAATGCCCAGCTAAGTGTTACGATGCACATCGAAATACAGCCATTGAAAAAAGTAAAAAATATCAGAGTAGGCAAAGAATAGGAAGAAAGGTGAGGAAGCAGAAGAGGAGGAGAATGAGAAGGGAAAAAAAATAAAGGGAGGTGATACATGAATGTAAAGTAGACTTTAAATGGCACGAAATGTATCCCACACAATAAAGGTCATGCAGTCGTACACTCTGATGTGCTAAATAACATAGCATTGAGGCGTTTAGGCCAGAACTACTCGCTACATAGAGAGAAATGGAGAGAAATACAATTGTTTAACAGATCTTAGAATTTATCAAGTTGACTAAAAAAGAACATAGAGTATTAGGATAATATAATAATGTTGAATTAATAGCTACAGGTAGAACATTTTCCCCCCAAAGGCAAGTATGTACCTCGTTTCCAAGCATCCTCAAGCCTACCTTAATCCATTTCAGAAAGTAGAAATTTTACAGACCGCATCCTTGGACCATATGTAATACAACAGATTAATAATAAAACTTTAAGCAACAACAAAAAACATAAACTCTAATCCCTTAGAAATTAAAAAGTACTCGCACATGTAATTATTGGGTCAAAGAGAAAACTTTTCAGTTTTAGACTGTTTAGAAAATAAGGACATTGAGGCTATCACATACCAAATGTTGTGGTTTGAAGCTAAAGCTAATATTCAGGAGTGACTTGATACCCAAAAGTGCCCTAAAGTGCCCTAGTCCTTCAACTGTAATTGTTATTGAAATCCAGAATGGGTGATCTTGATCAGGAACCAAAACTAAGGGAATATTGGAATTGATCTACCATAAATTCACGAAATTTTGAGGGGGGTTACATATTCTTTGCTGCAGAACTCGTCTTATGTTTGAAAAAGCTGGCTTAGAAGATTATAGTGAAGTTCATGTACAAATTTTAGGATCTGAAGAAACATATGGAGTACAAGCTAAAGCACATTTAAATGGAGTAAGTAGAACAGCACATTTCTTGTTCCAATGAGAGTGAATGGTTTGGAATATTCTTAATCACGTACTGATGAAAGTATTGTAAAGACCAATCTGACTAAGGTTTAATGGGTTATGAATTTTGGGTTATTTCAATGCTATAGTATGTATTTTTTAAATGTATGTTCTACAACAAGTTTGTTATTCAATGTGAATTTTCTATTTGCCTATCTCAAGACTTACCCTAATGCCATCTCCTTCCTTTCTTACCACACATTTAATATTTGAGTTATGTTTAGGCTCTTGGATGTCACAAATATGGTTTTCTGCAAAAGTGTTTAGAGAGCTATGAATATTTAAATGTTTAACTTCTGACAAGTTCTTAATATATGTTGTTCTTTTGCAGCAAAAATAGAAATAATATTTCTTCCATTTTTACAGGAAATTTTCTAGCTATTCATTAGAAAGAGTGTGAGAGAATGTAATATATAAAGTATGTCAAATCTATTGTGACCACCCATTAAAAATCAATTTCATTAATCTAATTTAATCCAAGGCATTTTGAGGTTATTTTAGAAATATGAATGGTCAAATTAGACAAAATGAAGTCATATCATTGTCTCTTTAAATTATGGATAAATAATTTGACTTTGTTAAGGTAGTGTTTTCTCTGTCATATATTTCTAACAGCATTATTACAGGTGTGTCTTATATAACTTTTTATTCACATCTTTAACCCTTTTGAATAACTTTTAGGACTTTTTAACTTCAGTGGTCATATTCACAGAGGTTTGGCCATTTTATTTATTCTGATTATTTGTAGATATTTTGGCCTATAGTTACTGCTTTCACTTAAGTGTTAATCAAAGATGGAAAAATGTATGGGAAATAACAGTAGCAATCACAACACTGGTTGAGAGGTTAGTATGTGCCAGGCACTGTTCTAAGTTCTTTATTTGTGGTCATTTAGCTATCACAACAACCCTTTAAGGTATATGTATTGGTATTTCCATTTTATAAATGAGGAAACTCAGGCACAGAGAGATTGAATAATTTGCCTTTCGTCAAACAGCTAATGAGGAGGAGCAGGTCCAAATTTTGAACCCCCTACTGTCTCTTTCCAGCATTTATACTTTTAGCCACTACAAGTAAGAGTTTCATTTCTATGTAGAGTTGATTAAAAAGATGTAAACTCTTTGTAACTGGATTATGAAGACTTGAGTAAACATAAGATAATTCATTACATTTTAGAAGAGAAAAATAATATTGTTATTTATAGTCTTAGATATATTAAATATCTCAAGTATCTGTGTCCAAATCTTTATTAAGACTTTTTTCTGTTTAGGAACTTTCTATTCTATATAACAGTAAGCTCAACGAGATACTGGCCAAATATTTTATTTTGGAGAAAGAATTCTTGGTTTCAGAATTTTTGCAGCCTGTTACTCATTTCATTTTATAAAGCCCTGAAATGCCAGGAACTCCTGTGTTTTATTTTGTAGGCTAGTGTGTGGTAAGGTCAGGATATAAACTTAGGGGCTATTTAGAATTATATGAGAAATTTTAGGTGCTTGATAAAACCCAGAAACAAGAACCAGGTGTCAAAGTGTAGATAGTTCACTGTACATAGAAATGTGTGCTCTATTAGTTGCTAGGTGATTTAATTGCCATATTTTTTAATTGCCATATTTAATTGACTGAATTAGATTTAGTGAATGCAGAACTTAAAATGAAAGGTTATTGTGAAAGCCAGCGCTTACTCTGTTGTTTGGAAGGGCTCTTCATTAAAGCTTGCTTGAAAATAGAACATAATATCTATTTTTTATGATGTGCCCGTGAACCTTTGTTTAGTTACATAACTAAATTGTCAGATTCATTAAGTTGGTTTTAGAGAGAGATTGACAGTACCCATAATGGGAAAAGTAGAAGTTTAATTACTGCTCTTTTTAAAGTAATTATATCTCATATTTGTACTTGAAGAAGTATTTTGCATCTAATGCTACATTATTTCATCTTAGTAACTATGAAGTAGTTAGAAGGCTGATATGATCTGCATTTTACTGGAAAGGAAAATGAAGTTATAGAGACATGAATTAACAATTAAGGACAAGCAGATCTTCAGAATAAGAGGCAGAGCTAGACCTTAGAATTTCACTTTCTTTTTTTTTTTAAAATATATCTTTATTGATTTCAGAGAGAGGAAAGGAGAGGGAGAGAGAGATAGAAACATCAATGATGAGAGAGCCATTGATCAGCTGCCTCCTGCTCACCCCCAACTGGGGATCGAGCCCGCAACCCGGGCACGTGCCCTGACCGGGAATCGAACCCTGATCGCCTGGATCCTAGGTCGATGCTCAACCGCTGAGCCACGCCCAGCCAGGCAGAATTTCACTCTTTCTAATGAACCTCCAGATGACCACAGGTTTCAAAGGTGATTACTGAATTCTTAAAATTTTTAAGTGGCGTTTTTATTTATGCACTTTTATAGTTAATTCTGTTTCCAACTGGGGTAACTGATTCATTCTATGAAGTACCCAAGGATTATGAGTCATCTTTGTTGCAGATATTCTTCAGCAGCTATAGCAATTTTACACATATAATCTAAAGTCATCTGTCATATGAAGAAAGTAATGGGCACCACCCTGGCCGGTGTGGCTCAGTTGGTTGGAGCGCCATCCCATGTACTAAATGTTGCAGGTTCGATTCCCAGTCATGGCACATACCCAGGTTGTGGGTTTGACCCCCGGTGGCCGATTAATGCTTCTCTCTCGAATCAGTGTTTCTCTCTTTCTCTCCATTTCTCTTTAAAATCAATAAAAACATATCCTCAGGTGAGGATTAAAAAAAAACACCACAACAACTAAGAAACTGTCACCCTTTAAAAAAAAAGAAAGCAAGTAATGGGCGTCAGTTAAGTACAAGGGAAGATAAATGGAAAAAGCAGCAAAGGAATTTTACACATACAATTTAGCAATTTTCCAACCTATCTCTACCATGTGTCAAGTTAAATTCGTAAGATAAAAATAATTATTATTAATTTCAAGGGGACGAAGAATTTTATCGTCTATTTTTAATAAGATGTTTATTTTTGTGGACATGTGTGGCATAATCAGGAAAACTTATAATAATAAACTTCTTATAGTAAACATGCATACCAGAAATATTTATATGGCCCAGAAAAAATATTCTTTTATGGTATGCAAATACAGATTTGTGCCTCATTTTGACCTCTGCCTGTGTTAATTTCTACTCTTGTCAGTAGGGTCCTCGTGAAGGAGTTCTTTGGCTTTCAGTACATCATAAAGAGAGGAGGGCAGTGGAAATTTTTTCAAGAGAAATTGCACCAGCAGGGACTGGAATGGGTAAGTATACATATTTTTGCAGTTACAGCTCTGAGAATCCCTTACTTTCTTATCACCACCATCAATTATAATATTCATTAATTATCCCTTTGAATATGCAAAATGGTGGATTTAGGTGATAATCCCAGACAAAGCCGCCTGGTAAAGTTCATTATGGCTTTGCTGTGCCCATGCCACCGCCCCACCCTGGGTTCCAGTTTCCCCACATTAGGGTCCCTTTTCCCCAGAATGGTCTCTTCTAGTGCTCTCTGAGCAGGTCCCGTGCTGTCCTGTGCCACTCTACCCACCCTGGCATGCAGGACCCTTTCCTGCAGTGCCCTTGCTCTTCCCTCACAGCTGAAATTGACTTGCCACCATCACAGGACCAGGCCTCTCAAGGCTTCAGTTTTGCTAATCCAATGAACTTACTCTCTCATTGGGATACAGTATTTGAAAGGCCTTGAATTCCCACATTGCACATATGGAGAGATTGGGCCTTAAAGAGGTGAAGTAGGTAAAATGAGAGAAGGCAAGTGCCATCCTTTGGTTCTTAAGGAGAGAAGTAAAATTTTCTAGTAATGTCAGTGTCAAGGGGAAAAGTTCTGTTCCATTTCCACTTCCCTTTTCCTATACCCATGACGAAAAATGGGGAAATTGAATTTTGGCAATGCAAGACTTACAGTTTGAAATTAATACAAAGCAAAAGTAAACAAGTGGGACTCCATTAGACAATAAACTTCTCAATAAAATGAGAAGGCAACCTATGACTTGGGAAATATTTGCAAACCATATATCTGAAAAGGGGTTAATATATAAAATATATAAGGAACTTATACAACTGAACAGCAACACCCCCCCCCCCC